CATTTTAATGTTTTGTTTATATATGACGCAGCAAATATTAATCACGTAATTATTTAATGGCCGCAATCAACCTTGAAATTTTGTGCAACATAGTTTATGTTGTCATACTTTACGATAGCGATAGAAAAAATTAAACTTTGGGAATTTGAATTCTTTGAATTTATTTCGTGTTGTTTTTTTTGATGAAATAAATAAAAATGAAAGGAAATATAATAAAATTAAAGTCTTCGTTCACTCTCATGTGACAAAGTTTGGTGACATTCTGTATTTAAGTATCATAATCATTTATACGTGCCTAATATTGATATGAACTAGATATTCAATAAATAAATAATAAGTAATTATGCATATTAAGTCCTACTTAAATACCTATTTGCATTTTTTATGTTAATGTTTTTTATAGTAAGTGGTCATTGCCGCCTCTGGACATTTGCATGCGTTTCCAGCCAGGAAGAAAAAGGGTTACCCGCCTTTTGAAGAGCAAGAAACATAAAAAAGTTGAATTGATATATAAAATTTTTTTGTATTTAAAGTTTTCTAGAACACACGTACTCATAGCTTCATCGTACTAGTTAGGTAGGTACTTTTAATTTAATAATATCAAGAAGTAGTCACTTACTATCATAAATCACTTTGTTTTCAATATTTTTTTAGTTCTATGCCTTAATTTATGTGATATTTTTAAAACAGACGTGAAGTCAAGCAACAAAGAAAAGTTATACTGAAACCCAGGTTAGGTGGATTCTGCTATCCTTTGCATTGGATGAAAATAATTCAGCAAAATACACCCAGGAAACAAAGATTGTACTTAAAAATTTAACGAAAACTGTGTTTAATCATATTTCTATGAGCGATCAAGATTCGTGTCTGCAGTATAATAGTTCGTGCTATGCTTGCATTGCGTTTCGTGGTTTCTTGTATCTCATCCATTGAAAATGCTCCTGCGTTTTAGCCTTCAACGAAAAACGCGGTTTAAATTCATTTTAATCTAAACTCCAGTTTTATTCCATTCAACAGTGGTTATTTGATGGCGTTATGCACTGAAACTAATAATAGTGGAAAAATAAATTACTATGTATATTGACAAGTTAATTTATTCAATAAATGAAATTGATTTGTATATCAGAAGAAAATATATTAGAAAGTAATTATCTCTCTTAGTGTTTCTTGTTATTGCGAGTAAATTGTGAATCGGTCGGAAATTCGGCGAGGGGAAAACGGGGAAAAGCAACTAGTTGACATTTCAGGATTGTTTTTGGAATGATATTAAACGTTATTGCAACGGCGTTAAAAAAAAATTTCTATAGCGTAAGTAAACAGATTTCTGAATGGAAAAACGAATTAATATTATTAATAATTCGAAAATACCAACTGGCGCTTCTCCAACACTACAATACAATTATATAGGTACTCATAAAAATATTTTAGACTCATGATCAATTAAAACAATGAACCCACTACTATAATTGAACTAATTATGTATTAACACTATAAAGCAGACAAATATTATGGATACTGTCAATTAAACAGTTGAATGCCTAATCAGATAAGCACTGTGTCAATTAATAGCGCTGTCAGATATAGTTCTTTCGCGAACTGCCAGTCATATGTCTACCTTAGAGCACAGATGAAGTCAAGCGGTGCATGAAAATCACGAGGACAGCTATGGACAAACTTCATAAAATATGGAGAAACAGGAACATCACAAAAGCCACGAAAACACGACTCCTCAGGGCATTAGTGTTTCCCATATTCCTTTATGTTGCTGAGACGTGGACCTTGCGAGAGAGTGAGAAAAAGAAGATGGAAGCTCTATAAATGTGATGCTGGAGGAAAATGCTTGGCATACAGTGGACATAATTCCGAACCAATGCATCCATCCTCCAGGAACTCTCCATCGAACAACGTCTTTCTTCCATCGTACAAGGTCGTATTCTCACTTTCTTTGGCCACATCTCACGCCGAGAAGATGCGTCAGTGGAACGACTGCTGCTGCAGGGCAAAGTCGAGGGCGTAAGAGCGCGCGGCAGATCACCAATGCGCTGGGCCGATCAGATAAAAGCTGCACTGAACGGTCCACAGTGCACGAGAAAGGCCGCAGTGCAGGAGGAATGTCGGCGTATTGTGAGGCGCGGCGCCGGCGGCCACGACCATTCTGTCAAGAGTGTAGCGTCGAAGAAGACTAAATGTTAACACATTGTTTGCGTCGTATTGTTCAACTCAACGGTGATAAACAATTTTGGGTTGAAATCCTTTTAATTTGTTAATCGTCGTCGTCCAATTAACCTTACATTAATTAATTTTGAAATTAATTTGTCATTTTCCAACACTCGAATTTTAGGTTGGGTGGAGAGATGGACGTTGCACACCATAGCTACACCCATGCATATTGTATCAGTAGTATTGCTATTACCCTGCTTAATGACTCTACTTAGTGTAGAAATACTATTAAGACAATTATTAATATGTCATTTGTCTGCCGTATGGTGCAGGATACATTTGGACAGTGGAAAAACAAAATCTTGCTGCTTAAAAATTAACATTAAATAATAATAGTAAAATTAAGTAATTTTTTATGCAGCACCGAAGTGGCGTTTTACCAATTTTATTATTCCACTGTCGATTTCTTGTTTGGCAAAATAGACCGATAAAAAGTTTTTTTTATTCCCTGTTTAAAACCAGTAAACAAGTTTAGTTAATTAACAAGTTTATAACAAGTTAGAGGGTAGGTATCATTTTGATTGAGATGTTTTTAAATATAATTCTTACTAAATTAAAAGAAGGTTTTCTATTACAATTAATTCTATTTATTTATTTCAGGAAATCTATCTAAAGAAAAGAGATGACAATTAAGATACAAAGTAATAACATATTATGTCAGAATAGCTGTGTAGAATATATTTTAAAGTATACTATGAGGCAAAGGTCAGTAATGTTAAATAACGTCAATTGGGAAAAATCATGTTTGATATTGTGTCAGTTTAACATTGAAATAATATTTAAAACAATTACAATTACTTCGGATGCTTTAACTATTTTAAATCATTATGAATACATCTACATTACATTCATCTTATTATAAAATGCGTCGTGATGTATTTTTTGTGAATGTACTAAAGATAAAATAAAACAGAAAATAATAGTAAAAATTTCATAATGTACAAAATAAAAACAACCCACGTGTTTGAAACTGGATAATTGACCTTTATTTTTCGTTTTTGATACCCTTCAACGCTCAAAATTCAGTGACGACGTAATAAACGCTAATCTTTTATTAGTACTTATTTACACCAACGACTGTGTCACGACTGGGCCACAGCTCGGTATGAGTGGTGCAAAACTGAGCTGCTGGGTAATATCTTCAACCTAACATAATTATGAGACACTTTTACCTTAGTATTCTATGAGATAGTGTTAATTAAGATTGGACACAAAACGCTCATTCAAACTACAAATGTAGACGATTAGTTATTAAAACGGAAGCAAATAAATGCAAACATCAAAAGTAGTGAAAACAACTGTTTTTGTGTTAACTACATCGTTACTCGTTTCCGTATCTCAGCAAATTTTCTCCCGGCACGTCATGCGGCGCTAGACGTACTTAATTTAGTAGCGGTACCTACATGAAAACAAGCATTCGTATAGCAACAATAAACATATTTGGGTCAAGTTTAAATTGGACTTGAATGTAATACAATTATGCATAATAGATTAGCGGTGAGTAAGTTTTATTTTGTAAATCATCTTTATTGAACTTTCTTTTAAAATTTATTACACATCGATACTTAGTTTTAATACATTTATAAAACCGACTTTTTTGGAAATCAGTGAAGTCACTGAAAAACAAAATTTTATATAGTCTATGTATTTAGAATCTTCACTTGTTGCTTATATTACCTACTAGCTGTGCCCCGCGGTGTTACCCGTGGTTTATTAGGGATATTTTCCCGCAGTAAAGCGTAGCCTTTATGTGAATCCAGGGTGACAGCTAACTCCATATCAAATTTTATTAAAATCGCTCCAGGCGTTTAGACGTGAAGAAGTAACAAACATACACACTCACAAACTTTCGCCTTCATAATATTAGTGTGATATATTTTTAGTCTTATTTACTTCGTGTTATTTTTTGTCTACTACATCGTTTTATGGTTTGATAAATATTTACTCTAAATGACGAACTAACCTTAAATTTTAACATACTATTTAAGTTTAGCCAACGCTTATAGAAAATAAACTTTATGAAGAGTTTGTTGCATGGGTATGCGCTATTCAGAATGTTTATGCACTTAGGTTGAAAACACAATATTGCAAAGGACCTTCAGGTTCGCTCGATGTTTGCTTACACTGGAGTAAATTTATGCTGACTTACAAGTCTCACTTTAACCGAGAAAATTTTGCCGTGGAACTGCAGTTATGTATTTAGCGCATTGTTATCAAATTTGTCGAATTAATTTGAAATTTAACAATATTCAGTAGCTGTATAATTACATGAATTATAGTATAAAAAATCTTATTGCTATTTAAGGAGGACAGAAAAATAAACATGTGTTAATTAATAAAAAAAAATACCATTATCAAATTTTAAAAAAGTGCTACAACATTATGCACCTTTACAAGTTGCCATCTTTTAATTCAAGCAAACGCTTACATTAACTTCAAAGTTTATAATTATGCAATAAATTTTATAATAAATGAAATGCATGGTATTACAAATCAAGCTAAAGTAAGCTTACGACAATTATTTTTATAGTTTATTGCTTATTTATTTATATTGATTTAAAACTTTATGTTATCGAACGAATAAAAAGAAAACCACTTGTCTTAGGGCCCGTTATTTCATCTACAGCTAAATTTTAATATAGTTAAAATACTGGAGTAAATATAACCTTTTATGAAAATTTGACACATTTACTGTGTTTTTGACATTAACTATAGTAAAATTTAACTTTAAATGAAACAACGCGGCCTAGTCTACTGATTATGTTCATAAATAAACTCACCCGCAATAAAAATAGGTATATATCCAAGTGTCATATAATTACACACTCGTGCACTGCTAATTGATAGTACGAATTTTGTAAACAGTAAGCGCGCGTCCGTGACACTGCGTCGGCGTGAGAGCTTTGCGCTGCGCGCGCGCGGATGCCTCCTACTTATAGTTTTAGTGATGCTGTGTAACACTTTCCCCTGTCGTTCTTAATCTCTGTCAAAATAAATTTCTCTTTGAATAAAATTCTGAAAACGCAACGCAAGTACATACATTTCAGCATCTGAACAAATTGAAAGCTTAAATTCGCGGTTAATAACATGCGTCTCCGACCGTCACACCCAACCGTAACAGCATGCGTTCCGGACCGTTATGCCAAACCGTAACACCAGTGTTATGGTTGTTTTTTTTTCATTTCCATCACAACATCACACTTTCAAAGTTCAGTGTGAAGGTGGGTTAGTTGACTTCTCATATTCATCTTTAGACCCATTCTTCACTGCTAATATCTTCAAGCATTATGTTCAGGTCTTCCAAGGTCTTAGCCATAAGTACTACATCATCGGCAAAGCGAAGGTGTGTTAGGTACTCGCCATTGATGTTGATGTCCTTTCCAATCCAGAAGTTTGCTCGTTGCAGTTGAATTGGATTAGAGCTCTGATTCTGTAATCGAACTGACATAGTGGCATTTTCGTAAAGGTACCTTAACATCTCAACATATCTGTAGTCTACTTGGCACCTTTGGAGAGACTGCAGCTCCGCCCAGGTCTCAATCTTATCAAAAGCTTTCTCTTAGTCCACAAACGACAAGCAAAGTGGCAGGTGGCTCCTCGGTTTCCTGTATAAGCTGCCACAGCGTATGAATGTGGTTTACGGTACAGCCTTTTCGGACACCGGCTTGTTCGAGAGGTTGGAAGTCGTCAAACCTGCGAGCGTGTCGATTCGTGATAACTCTCGAAAACAACTTATAGACTTGGCTCAGAAGTGAGATTGGTCGATAGTTCTTCAAGAGTTTGCTATCAACCTTTTTGAAGAATACAAAACCTCACTTATGCCCCACGTTTTCGGCGTTTGGCCTTCGAGGATGACGCAATCGAAAAGCTTCTGGAGGTCTTTAAGCATCGGCTTACCGCCCGCTCTCAGAAGCACTGTATTGATTCCATACTAATCTCATACAGGCTGACGTCTGGGATATTGTCGGGTAAGCTTAACTCTGGGATCTTGCCTTGCTTTCAACAGGTGCTTTTGTGAAATATAGATGCCGACAGAACCTCTCAATCACCCACAGAATTTCACTCTTAATCGAAATGATACTACCGTTGTTAGTTTTTAGCTTCGTCAGTTGATTTTGCCCAATTGGAGCCCTGATTCTGCTTTATAGCTACTTTAATACAATTAGTATTAAATTGGTGAAGGTCGCTCGTTAAAGACTTAGAAATCTGCCTTTTTAACAAACGATACCGACTCAATTCATATCGCTGTTCCATAAGTTGGAGTTTCATGTCGGAGAGTTTCTTCATTCCAGTTCGGCGGGTTTGAATATACTTGGAACCTACCGTATGGGCAGTATCCACCACGTAGATCGTCGTTAGATCGTCTACATCCAAGCTGTTTTGAAGTACGAGTTAAAAGCTGTCGGGGTTTTGAAATTGTGCTGGTATTGGTCGGAGCGTAGACCTTATCAGTCAAGATGTTTCCAGCTTAATGTTGATATTCAATGTGCCTCTTACCAAACGGTGATCGCTTCCCATTTTGACGGCATTTATTACAGAGACATCATTAAGATGTATGTAATCGATAAGATCAATCTTATTTTAAATTTTACCGTCTGAGCTCATCCAGTATCATATCCAATTTTAGGGCTTCCTGAAGAAGGAGCTCATCATAAAGAGATTCTCCTTCTCCATAAAGTCAACCAACATCCGACCTCTCACGTTCCTTTGCCCAACTCCAAATTGCCCCACTCTCAACTCATCATCACAACGCTTCCCCAACCGAGCGTTGAAGTCTCCCATCACAACTGTGTAGATTGTTTTGTGCATGGCTTTAGAGATCTCCTCGTATATAGCCTCCACTTCATCATCTGAATGTGTCGAGGTCGGAGCATAGACCTGAATGACATTCAACGATTATCTTTTCGATATTCTGAGTAGGTATCAGGTATGCTACCCTGGTCGACACACTTCCGATAGTCCTCCTCCTCCACACCTCCCGGTAATATAGTACGTTATCAGAATTGAGGATCATCGAGTCCGCTCCGTCGCTTCGGACTTTAGACAGACAGATAACATCTCAGCGTAACTTACTAACAGCTTCTTACAAAGCTGCTACCGCGGCTTGGACATGCAGGGCAGCTGGGAACTAGGGGCTGATTTTTGTTTGTGTCATTCATTTGCGGAAGTTTTGCCGTAATCGCCACGCTTAGCAGACGAGTTGGCGATCGCAGTATGGCCATAGAATGTAAGGAGAAGGCGGTCTGCTCATCTTCTTCTGGCGGTATTCTCGCAGTCACCTTCTACGACACCATTCCCGTGGGACGAGAGGGGATAGTGTTATTCTAGGCCGGCACACATGGCACGGCTTTTCATTTCAAGTATCCCTACCGTTATGAATAATGAAACTGATGTACCAGGGCTACATAACTCCAAATGAAATTATTATGTTAATGCATCCCCGAACTTCACACTGGTGACTGGTATAACAGGGTTCCCATCCGTAACACTAGTTTTACGGTTTGGCGAAACGGTCGGAAATGCATGGTCAATATCCATTTTACTTTTTTTTTCTAAATAAATTAATGTTGGACATTTTCACAACATTTCATGCATTTATCTAGCCCAAAAGTAAATAGCTAATACTGTGGTTACTAGATTACGTATAAATATAGTTAATATACGTAAACATCCATGATGTGTAGGAAAGCACGTATTCATCACACAAACATTGCCCTCTTCGGGATTCGAACGCGGGTGTTCTATTGTAGTTAGGCCTTTTAATTTTAATCTAAGTTGTTAGGATCTACTAACAAACCGATAAGCCAAGCGGATCATCACTCTTTCTTGTAGTGTAGATGCGTCATTTCGTTAGCTAAAGATTTTTGTTTTTTAATTTTTTATTATATACATGTTTATTTATTACTTATTCATTACATATCACATTCACAAAAATACGGTGGTACAGAAAAATACAGTAACCATGTGACGCCCTGCAAGGGCACAGCAACTTTTTGCGTGTTATTGTCTATTCAAATTACATTATTATTCAATAACGAATTGCTTAGCCTTACTGCGAAATCTGCGATTGATTAACTTTGATTTCAGTACTCCTAGCACGAACCATTATCGAATTCGAATAGTTTGCAAATAACTATCTCCGTGAACGTACGGTGGCTTTATCTCACGCGGGTGTCACTGCTACCACTACCACCCAACGAGGCTGCGTCCAGGGATCTGCTTGTGGGCCAGCGTTGTGGAATATTATCCTTGATGGTTTTCTCAGCCTGTCCTTTCCCGCCGGCTGCCGTATTCAAGCTTATGCACATTACGTTTTTTTAATAGTTTCTGCCAAGGATCCCATCACACTTGAAAGAAATGCTCGACAAGCTCTAGACATGGTTGCAAATTGGGGCCTAGGTGTCAAATTAACCTTTGGACCAGATAAAACAAAAGCCTTGGCTTTTACTTCCAAGGCAGCTAGGGCAACTTTATTAATGTTAAACACCATCATTCCTTATAGCACTAAATTAACTTTACTGGGAGTTGTCATAGATCATCGCTTTCGTTTTCACAAACATGTGGACCATGTCATTGATAAAGCACAGTCTGTTTACGCGAATGTGTTTGTTCGTTCGGCCTTCCTGGGGCCTTCATCCTAAAAATATCGAAACAATTTACAGGCACGTAATTGTGCCTACAGTTACTTACGCTGCAGGTATTTGGGGTCATGTTGCACAATTAGTTACTGTTCGACGTAAATTACAATCGCTACAGCGTGTATTTGCTATCCGAGCCATTAGGGCCTATCGCACGGTTTCAGCTAATGCTGCCTTAGCCCTGGCACAATTCACACCCCTTGATTTGGAGGTGCTACATGTGCGCGAAATTGAAAGAAGTAGATTAACTCAAACTACTCAGTTCCTGCCGGATGACGTCATGTGGGAATCCCCTACACTCATTTCCAATCTTCTGCACCCTGCACATCGCGTCACTGTTCAATAGTCTATTGCTGAAGGACAACAAAAAGTGGACGAAACTTGCCTTCCGAATACCGTGCAAATTTTCACCGACGGTAGTAAACTGGAGAATGAATCCGTTGGGGCTGCTTATATTTGTATAGACCCGGATTCACCCTCTCCCGTTACTTGTAAAAGATTTAAATTACACAAAGCTTGCACTGTGTTCCAGGCTGAACTTTATGCCATCTAAAAAGCCTGCTGCCTCGCTGTGGAGAGGAAATACGAGGATACCCTTGTTCTCACTGACTCATTATCGTCTCTGGACGCACTCAGTCAGCGCAACAACGCCACTCCTCTCGTGTCACTTACCCACAAACTTATTCACGAACACCACTCTTTTGGAAATATTCCTTTTTGTTGGGTTAGGGGGCATGTAGGGATTGCAGGTAACGAGGCTGCGGATGCTGAGGCCGGTCGCGCTGCAGATTTGAGAAGGGCTCCTGATTACGACCGATTCCCATTATCATATGTAAAGCGACTTTCTAGGATTCGCATTCGCAAAGAGTGGGAGAAACGATACCAAGAGGCTGCTCAAGGCTCCCACACTCGAGATTTATTCCCCTCTATAACAATGATTCACAATTTTTTCTTAATCATCTCTTCCTCTTCATTCTTTCTTAGTCAATTTTTAACAGGACATGGTGCCCACCTTTCTTATTTATACTGCTTTCACATTGCTGCATCTAGCGCATGTCCATGTGACACTCAGACGCCACAAGATCCTCTTCATCTTTTGACTGATTGTCCAAGATTTTTTTTATTTTTTTTTTTATAGATAGGTCCGACAAATGACTCCACCCCACCTGATGTTAAGTGAAGGTGAAGTCCAGACGTGACGATAGCTGATACAGCAGTTTTACCTGCCACACCAGCCATCCTCACCCTGCCGGCCTGCATGTTGCTTCTTCACGCCTCTTTTAAAGGATCCCAGGTTGTAAGAGGGAGGGAACACGTGAGCGGGCAGAGCATTCCATTTACGGAT